CGCCCTCTTCTGGACTCTACGGCTCCAGGAGGCTCTGGGGCCCTCTTCTGGTCTCTGAAGCTCCAGGAGGCTCTGGCGCCCTCTTCTGGACTCTACGGCTCCAGGAGGCTCTGGCGCCCTCTTCTGGACTCTACGGCTCCAGGAGGCTCTGGCGCCCTCTTCTGGACTCTGCAGCTCCAGGAGGCTCTGGCGCCCTCTTCTGGACTCTACGGCTCCAGGAGGCTCTGGGGCCCTCTTCTGGTCTCTGAAGCTCCAGGAGGCTCTGGCGCCCTCTTCTGGACTCTACGGCTCCAGGAGGCTCTGGCGCCCTCTTCTGGACTCTACGGCTCCAGGAGGCTCTGGGGCCCTCTTCTGGTCTCTGAAGCTCCAGGAGGCTCTGGCGCCCTCTTCTGGACTCTACGGCTCCAGGAGGCTCTGGCGCCCTCTTCTGGACTCTACGGCTCCAGGAGGCTCTGGCGCCCTCTTCTGGACTCTGCGGCTCCAGGAGGCTCTGGCGCCCTCTTCTGGACTCTACGGCTCCAGGAGGCTCTGGGGCCCTCTTCTGGTCTCTGAAGCTCCAGGAGGCTCTGGCGCCCTCTTCTGGACTCTACGGCTCCAGGAGGCTCTGGCGCCCTCTTCTGGACTCTACGGCTCCAGGAGGCTCTGGCGCCCTCTTCTGGACTCTGCAGCTCCAGGAGGCTCTGGCGCCCTCTTCTGGACTCTGCAGGTACCTGCACTTAGTGTCTCCCCTCTCACAGGAACACGCTCACATACAGATTTTAAACTGTGGATAAATGAAGCCTTCCATCCTCAGATTGCAGGGTTTTTTGCTTTTGTTTTTGTTTTTTTGATGTTTCGAGACAGGTTTCTCCGTATTGTTTTGGAAGCTGCCCTGGAACTCACTCTGTAGACCAGGCTGGCCTCGAACTCACAGAGATCCGCCTGCCTCTGCCTCCCGAGTGCTGGGATCGAAGGCGTGCGCCACCACTGCCCGGCTAGATTGCGGTGTTTGGTTACAGCAGTAACAACAGTGCTGGTGGGAGTGTGGATTACCAGGCTTGTAACCCTCAGCCAGCCCCAGGCCACAGGAAGCAGGGTGGTTAGGGCATGATTTCCCTCAAAGGCTGGTAGTAGCTTCATCCTCAGGGTGGCGGTATTGTGCCCATAGAACCTTTAATGGGTGGGACCTACGGAGAGGTGGTCACTGGGGGGGTGGTCTTGGGAGGGGCTAATGTAGTTCTTCTGGAACTTCACAACTTCAATGACTAGGGTTATTATAAAAGAGCGAGATGGGGGAAGGAGTGGAGAGGAGGGGTGGGGGAGGGGGTGGCAGGGGAGGGTGGAGAAAGGGCTCTGTGGTCAAGAGTGTGTGCGGCTCCTGCATGGGACCTGGGCTTGGCTCCCATGGCCCACGTAGTGATTCACAGTTGCCTGTGAATTCAGTCCTAGTTCGGGGGTCTGACACCCTCTTTTGGCCTTTGTGAGCATCAGGTACATATGTAATTCACACACACACACACTCACACACACACACTCACACACACACACTCACTCACACACACACACACACTCACACACACACTCAGGCAAAACCACTCACACACTAAAGTAAAAGCAATGTTGTAAGAAGGAGTCAGACCTGCCGCCCCCCTGCTCTCAGTCATCCTGTGGTGCCGTGTGATCTCTCCCTCTCTCGTGGGTGTCTTCCGTGATGCCATCCACCATGACACAGCCACGGGGTGGGGGGGCTAACCGGAGGCTGTCAGTTGATGAGATGCCTGATTTGGGGATTTTAGAACCCAAATCTGCGAGCCAGATGAGCCGCAGGTACTCTGTGGTAACAGCCCTGCTCACCTGCCTCTCACGCTCACCACAGGGATGACGCCACAGCTCTGATTTCATTCCCTACACTGTTGAGACAAAGCTTTGGAGGTCTGTGACGCAGACGACCCTGTAATGCCGTCCATTAAAGGCTAGGAGGCTCCCATGGAGCCCAGGGCTGACATGTTACTCACCCAACGTGAACAAGTCCACTCCCTCACCTGGCCTGCAGTCCCTTGGCCTGAGAGGGTGCATGGCTGTCAGCGTCTTCGGAAGAGACACGGACAGCGGGCTCTGAATGCTCCATGGAAGCAAGCTGGACACTAACGGGGTATCTGAGGCTCAGTGAGGCACAAGGAGACACCCTAGGTCTCTGGTAGCTTCTTTAAAGAAAGCCAGCAGGCCCTCTGCTTTCTTAACTGCCCGCCCATCCGTCCTTACCCTCTCTGGCTGCTTTATTGCAGCAAGGGCTCCTGTGGCAGTGGGGGGATTGCAAGGGAACTCGCCACGGGCCACCAAAGCAAAGGTTTAGTGAGTGCTGTGGAGGAGGGAAGAGGACTCCAGTCTGATGCTTTTATTTTATACATAACTTTTAATATTTCTTAGTATTGCCAAGTTAGTCTGAAAAAATTGGCTACTAACATCACCTATACTGTAAACCTAGATGTCCCCTTAGAATCGACCAGGTCATTGAAAAACAAAACCCCAGCACAGAGAAGGGGAGCGGACACCAAGTCGCACCCCTACCCAAGAAGCTGTCTGCAACTGGCTGCTGCTGGGAGGGGAAAATCAGGTAGCCAACCACGCTCCGGAGCAGGCCCATGCCGGGAGTAGCCGGTCAACACAGACGGACTCCGTGTGTGTGTGTGTGTGTGTGTGTGTGTGTGTGCGCGCGCGTGCATTTTGTTTGGTGTGTTTGTTTTGTCTTATTGGATCTCTTGTTTGGTAAGTTTGGGGATTTTTCTTGTGTGTGTATGCGCACGCCCATGTGGGTTTTCTTTTTTGTTTGCTTTTTTGGAGACTGAAAGATCACAAAGTTAGTTGGGTAGGGAGGTGGAGTGAATCTCAGAGGAAGGAAAATATGCTGTTCCCTCCCACCCCTACCCTGTGCCCTGCCCTCTCCCCCCACCCCTCCACCCCTACCCTGTGCCCTGCTCTCTCCCCCCACCCCTCCACCCCTATCCCGTGCCCTGCTCTCTCCCCCACCCCTCCCTTTAAGTTCTTTTGTTCCCTAAACAGCTTTGCAGTTTGCTTCAGGTACACACCCTGTGCTCCGGATCTTTATAACAATCTAGGAACCACAAACAAGAGAAACCTACAGGACTGTGTTTCTGAGGCTGATTTGACTTAATACAATTACTTCCAGTTGCATCTATCTCCCTAGGAGCAACTACTTTTCCCTTGAATCTGGATGTGGGTCCCCTCTGGACGCTACGGGAGTACAATAGTCTCAAAAGTGCATGCCTGAATCTACAGGCCAGGCGGACTATCCTGAGCCCTCATCAGGAGGTGACTCTTTATGGGAAAAAACGGGACATAAATACCAAGTCAAGCTGAAGGAGATAAGCAAAAGCCTGGAGGGCACGAGGACCCAGGGAGTGTGCCCAAGCTCTGAGGGGATTGATAGGGTCGGCTCCCCCTTGTTTGCGCAGCCACTGGATGCATAAAACAAATTTAGATGTGAAACCGTCTCTGCAAGAGCTCTGGTCGCCATGTCCACCTGAGGTCGGTATAAAGTATAGGCCACATAGCACACAGATTTCCACAATACTGGATTTCTTGTTTTTGTCTTTCGACGGGTGTATCGGACTGCTGGCTGTGGCTGCCCTCTGGTGGTGACTTTGGGGATAGCTCTCTAAGCACAGAGCCCTGAGTCTTTGCCTAGGAAGGGCTGGGTGATGTATTCTGAGAGCCTCTAGACACTGTTGGGAGGTTGAAATTCTGGTCAACCAACAGTGCTTGGGAGATGGTACCTACTGTCCCGGAAGAGAGACAGACACCTTCTCCAGGTGTGATGTGGGACAATCCGTCTGTGTAAGAACCTTGGGGTCATAGCTCAGGGTCCCGGGAAAGCCGCGAAGACCTCTTTGCTGAAACCACAGCCCTCTCTCATTCCAAGGATGGCACTATCATCTCTCCAAGCCCCAGGAAAACGTCCTCCTCCCCAGGCCCGAGGACCTTTCAGCCACAAGGGACCATGGGTGCTCTGCCTGGAGAGATCCCCTCCCCGACAGCTCCATGGCTCTGGGGGATGAGGGTTGTCCCCTCTCACCAACACTAAAACTTAAGTGCATGCGGCCACGCCTCACACTTTCACATGGTCTTGGGATAGATGACATCCTCACATCTGCAGGGCAAGCACTTTGCCGACGATGAGGTTACCTTGGGCTCATGCTTTCAAAGCAGTCATCATGCAGGGAGGGCAGGATGGAGGGGGTGTGGTGGATACTCTTCACCATGGTAAGTCCTTAGGGGAATGTTTCAGGTTCAAACCCTAACAGGCTTACTTTTGATACTACGTATCTTTAGGCTTACTTTTGATACTACATATCTCATAGGCTTGGGCATGTGTCTGCTGTTTCATAGAATCAGTTCTCCACCCTCCAGAGCCCCAGGCTCCACCTAGTCACCCCTCCCTGTCACTCCACAGTGTCGGAGTTAGAATCACACAAGGCATTCTCTTTTCTGAATTGACTTCCTCCAGGCATCAACGGCTCTAACTTTCCCTTTGTCTTTTCATAGGCACCCCCCCACCCCCGCCACACACACACACCGTTTCTAGAGCTGATTCACAGTCCACTGGGAAGGCACCATGGTTTACTCGTCCACCCCCCTGCTGAAGAGCATCTGTGGGCAGACTCCACCTGCACGGGAGTTTTCAGCTCCTTGTGACAAATGCTAAGGACGGCAATTGTTGGGTTACAGGTCAGAGTCCACCGCTGTCCTGCTGCATACCTTCCCGTTGTCCCACAAGTGCCCCGCGAGAGTTCCTGTGCTGCCCCAGGACCTGCTGCTGTGGGCCTTCTGTATTTGGGCCTTTCAGATAGGTGCATACCTGCCACGTCTCTTTGTGAGTAAAGTTTTATTGGAACACGGGCACATTCACTTGCATACAATCTAAGGTGGATCCTTGGCAAGCAGGAAGACCCGATTAGTTCCTAAGCACACATGTAAAAAAATGATGAGGTCCCTCCACATACCTGTAGCCATGTTGGGGGCAGGGACAGTGGATCTTGGGGGGACTTGCCAGCCAGACCGCCTATCTGAAACAGTGAGCGCCAGGCCAATCAGTGAAAAAGCCTAGGAAAAATAAGGTAGGCATTGATCCAAGAAGACACCTGGCACCGACTCTGGCCTTCACATGTGTACACATGGGTACACATTCATCATACACATGCATATACATACATACGCATGCATATATATACATATACATGTATATACATAAATGCACATGCCTATACATACATACATATACATGCATACACATGCATACACCACACCCCATACAGAAACAACAAAAAAGACTCTATGGGTCACAAATCCAAAAACATTTACGACCTTGCTCTTTATAGAAAATGCACGTGGTAAAGCCGTATTCTAGAGTCATCATGATTTATTTTACTATGTGTTTATGTAGCATCTGCCTCATGGCGGCTACGTGATGCATAGTTGGGGACAAACAAGGAAGCCATGATGAGAACTCCGCCCTGCTGAGGAAGGACCACATATGCTGTGGGGACACCAGACCTTGAGCAGAAACCCATTTCCCCTTTGGCCTGGGAGCAGGCAGCTGTGTAATGTTTACTGAAAACAATTCAGTGCTTTAAAGCTCTTGATAGGGCTCAGATAAGGGCTCACTCACTGAGATACCATGACTTTCACACCCCCTACGGCTAGATGCCTCTTCCTGTCCCCCCTGCGGTGTCTCCCCGCTTCTGGGGCGGGAGATTAAACCACCAGCCAGGAGGGTGAGAAGTCTGGAAAGAATTGTATGTAGATGGATGGCAGAAGTCCTTAAAAAGGGAAGCGATTTTTCTTGGAGAGACTTCTCCTGAGAGCTCTCTCCTAAGCGGACTGGGGTCTCCTTCTAAGCTGACTTGGGAAGCATAAAGTTTTCTTAAAGCAACCGACTGGTCTCTGTGTCATCTATCCCGACCACCTTGCTACATTCTCAGATGCAGGCCGCACAGCAGGTGCGACAATATGCCACAATCCTTTGCAGAAGTTTTATCACCTAAGCGCAAATATCAGAATCTGGGTGGTGTTTATGTATGTGTGCACACCTGCTTGGGTTTGTTTGTTTGTTTTTGCAGTTGTTAAGCTATTTTTATTGTGAAAATTTTATTTGCAAGAAATTATTATTGCATGTCCATGTGTAAAATGCACACACACACACACACACATAATAATTATTTTGATAGAAAACATATCGTGACACCTGTATAGCTGCCTGTTGAAATTTTGTGGGCTGGCCGCATAGAGAATCCTATCACACAGCAATGGCCTGGCTGTTATAACACATTCTCACCACAAGGGGGCAGAGCATCTCTAGGTACCACCTAGCCCTGTAGTACAAGAATTCTGGTCCCAATTTATGGTTTCAGAAGGAGATTCCAGAACAAATTCCAAGGGACAGGAGCGAGGAGGACCTGAAGTTGTGGCTGAATAACTTTTTTGGGGGGGATGGGGCTGAAGTCAAGGCAACCCAGCATGCATGGTTTATTTTGCTGTCTCTTAATTCTCTTTCTGGGGACAGGCTGTAGCTTACACAGAACAGTCCTACAATAAAATGCAGACCAGGAACTCAGACAGAAGGCTGAGGGATTGGACTTCAAATGCGTAAAAGCAAGAATTTGCCACAGACACAGAAAATGGTGAATCCTTGCAAGGCTTAACATGCTCGTTACAAACTCTTTTTTTCCTGACTGAACGGGATTATATTACCACCCTTTGCCCAGTAATGCAGGGCAGGGCAGGAGTCATCCAGCTTGGAGTGGCCAGCCATTCTCAGAGAGAATGCCCAGCACCACAGGCTTCCCATGTACCCTGCGGAGGGCGGGGCCGCAGGCTTCCTAGGACCTGCATTTAAGAGAGAGAAGTCCTTTGACTTGGACCTCTCTAACAAGCCGCAGACAGGCTGTGCTGTCTCCTGTCGGCACAGGGGACTCACTCAGCCCCTCTGCTTGGCTAACGAAGAGAAATCTCTACTTGCAGTGGGCTAATTTTTCTTGGGGTTGCTCTGCGGTGCTTGGGGTGCAGCCTGGGCACATTGGGGCTGTGGGCTGTGGGACAGAGTCCTGTCATCCCCTGTCCCCTCCATGGCAACCTCTTGAATTTGCCTCCTGAGGGTCGAGGCCAAGACCAGCTCATGAACCGTGAGTAGCCGGAGGGCGGCTCTCGCTGCTGTCCTTTATTTCACGCCAGTAAATAACAGGTGTCCGGTGGCCACACCCCTGCCACGGGATGCATTAATCCTTTAAAATAAACCTAGTTTATTCTCACCCTAAACAGACAAAGCACACCGACTTCATCACCAATGTAGTTACTTTTGAATTGAGATTGGGCTCTTAGCTGGGTAGACTTTGCTCTGTACTTGAATGTATAACGGCATTCTAGCAGTTTCCAGAAAGTTCTACGAGTTTATGCATTCATTTTAAGTCTAAATTCTCTTGCGCTAATTAAAATGTACTGTATTCTTACCAGGTTGGTTTGCTATTTAAAAAAATAATAATAGTAATTGTGAGATTTTCTCCCTTGTGTTCCTTCAAGGTCTCAAACTATTCTACCAGCAGCGTAGAAATGCTTCCTAGAGCTGAGATTCTAATCTCATTGGTGCTGGGCTTTGACAAGTGTGGCTTGGAGATCTACATTTAAACAGTCCTTTATGTAAAATGAGTACGATTATGCACTCACCCTGCCAAAGAACCCTGATTTAAAACAGAACAAAACTCTGACGTCTTGCTTTAGAAGACAGCAGAGAGCAGCAAACGAAATGCCCAGTGGGCGGTTTGAGAGCTGTGTGGTGGACCCCGCAGACTGAGGCGAAACCAACACAGTCACTTGGGGAAATGTGGCTTCTCGAGTTCAACGGCAGCCGAGGTCTCAATTCTTCTCATCAGACAAAAGCACAGCAACGTCTTTGCTCAGAGCCAAGGAGACCAGAACAGGAAGCTTGCACTCTTTCCTTTTGGAAATTAATCTTTCTGTAACAAGTACACATTGCATGACACCTGGGTGTGCAACAGGGTGCACCATGGAAAGTCCATCTCCTACCCCAGCTCCCTTCTCTAGGGGCGACCATCGGTACTCATTTCTTTTCTTTTTTTTTTTTTTTTTTTTTTTTTGGTTTTTCGAGACAGGGTTTCTCTGTGGCTTTGGAGGCTGTCCTGGAACTAGCTCTTGTAGACCAGGCTGGCCTCGAACTCACAGAGATCCGCCTGCCTCTGCCTCCCAAGTGCTGGGATTAAAGGCGTGCGCCACCAACGCCCGGCGGTACTCATTTCTTTATATGGGCATGCTGCTGCGGCTTGGAGACGTGGTCATGGGTGCTGCTGGGAGCTAGTGGGACCTATCAGGAGGACATTAGGTCAGTGGAGGAGTGAGCTTGAAGGGGACTCTGGGAGTCCAGCGACCTCTTCTGTTTCTTGGCCACCATACAGAGAGGCCCCTCCTCCACCACACACCCCCCTCCGTGGTTTGCTGCTCTGTCACAGACAGAAGCCACAGCACCAAGTGACCTGGGGAGAAACCTCTGGAACTGAGACTTAATGATCTTCCCTTTTCATAAATTCATTCACCTCAGGTATCTGCCGCAGGGAAGGGAACCTAGCTAAGTTTATGCACTCAGAAGGTGAGGGCAAATCAAAACACCAAAACTAGTGTTTACACTAGTCTGCTTCAGGTTAGTTTTCACTGATTGACGTTTAGATCTAAACACCTTTTCATGGCTCCTCTGCGTGGAAATCCCACACGGATTCCACCTCACTTGGTGGCTGTCGTGGCTCATCTCAGTTATGCGGCGTTCCTTGCTGTCCCTGGAGGACTGACTCCAGGGTTCCCACAGACAAGAGAATCTATGAATGCTTAAGTCATTTACATGAAACGATTCACAATTTGAAAATGCCCCGTGCGTATTCTCCGTGTGTTCCAATCACCTTTACGTGACCTCTGGTGTAGCCACTTGTAAATGCTATGCACACAGTTGTCGCGGTGTCCTGTTTAGGGAATAACAGGAGGAGAAAGGCGTTTAGGCGTTCAGGACAAGCTCAGTGTTGTCTTTGCGAACACTTCCTATCCATGGCTAGTTGAATCTGTGGATGTGGGACCCACCAACCTGGGGACCTGATTCTGTAGTTCAAACCCATGCTACAGTATCTTTGGACAACTTGCTCGGGACAAGTGGCAGGGGCAAAGGTTAGTGCATATTCAGTGTCCACAGAGCCTGCCACGAGACCCTCTCTGTTGATGGGACAGATTTACACTTGACAACAGGGTCCCATTGCCCCATACACTATCCACACAGTGAGTTCAGCACACATTGGCAAACCAGTAGATGAGAAAACGTCTCCCATTTCTAATTCACACTTTCCTCACGTTGACACTTTGTATTGAAGGTCCTTTGTCTTTTTCCTGTGATCCGACTGCATTTTTTTTTCTACTGAGATCTTAGATTGTTTTTGGGACTGAGTCCTTTTGGGACTGAAGGCTAGTGAGAATATCAGCAGTTTTTACACAGTTTGCCATTTGTATTTTTAAAGCTTTTATTTTTTAGATGATGTGTTTTAGATGATGTGTTGATGCGTGTGTCTCTGTACATGTGCGGAGGTGCCCGTGGAGGCCGGAAGGGGGCCTGGGATCCCTGCGGCTGGAGTCCTGGGCAGTTGTGAGCCACCTAACATGGGCCCTGGGAACCGAACTCAGATCCCCTGCAAGAGCAGTGCACACACTAACCCACAAGCCATCTCTTTGGTCTCCCAGATTTTGGTTTTCTGGCAAGCAAACACATATAAACAATCTCAAGTGTGGTTAGATTTGATGATGTTATATTCAAAAAATTGCGTTTTGAACTGTTGATTTTGGAAAGAATGTGGCATACATGTTGGTAGGTTCTTACCCATTGCACACAGAAAGCCCCATACACTGTTCTGGGCAGGTACCTGCCATAGTTTTGGATATGGGCCTACACTCTTAGCCCAGGAAGCTCTGTCTCATCTGGGCCTTCCTCTCTGTTTCACAGTGATCAAGTGGAAACCCCAGGAAACCTTCAACCAGATCCAGTCCAGCCCCCTCCTGTGCGACCCTGTGGAGGAGAGGAATAGCACCAATCCCACAAGGACTCCGAGGCTGCCGGATGCGACCAGCGCCGCCTGGTACATCATTGCCATCATCGGCATCTACGGTGTGATCTTCATCTTCCGGCTGGCCAGCAACATCCTCAGGAGAGATGAGAGGTCCTTGGAGGACGCTTATTATTCAAATTTAACCTCTGAGCTCAAGAGGAAAGGGTTTCAGAGCAAGTGCTCCCTCGTCATCAGCAATCCAGCTACCCTTCAGCCTCAAGGCGGCTTGGAACCGAAGGGTGAGGACCACAGGTTCACATAGGGACCCATTTAGTCCCTTGAAAGTCAAGGCCAGAAGACCACCATTGCGAAGCCTCAGCTGTTTTGCAGGTGGAGCAGTTTGGGGCCTGCCTGGGATCTTGAGAAAGGAACTGAACCCTGGATTAGGGCAGGGTGAGCATCTCTGGCCATGGACACTTGTGAGTGTGGACAGCCACCGGCAGCTGATTCTCAGGGTTCTCTGGTGTGATAAGAAGAAACATCAGAAGCCATAGTTCGGAGGGGCACTGGGGTTTTCAGGATACTCCTGAGGACTAAGGGATGGCTTCTCATCATGGAAGAAGGCTGGACTTGGATTCAAATGCTTGGGACTGACTTTCACCTTCTAGGCATGGCAGACGATCACCTGGAACACATGGGAGCTGGGATTATCACCCAAAGTGACTTTGTTTTAAAGACTGAATTTAGGAACAAAGTTGTTCATAGCAGAAGCTAAGGATTCTTCAGTTTCTCTGAAAGAGTCTCGTGCACCGAACAAAGCACTCGTTTTACTCAGGAGCCCCAGACTCTGGTCTGGGCATGTTTAACCCAGTTTTGACTTCTGAGAACATATTACCGGGCTTCTCTGAAACTTAGTTTCCAGGTCACCTGAGGGGAACGGTGCCAGGGCTGCCAGCTGTACCTCGTAGGTAAGCTCTACTGAGGGCCTGCATGGGATTGTGTTTTGAAATGCAAAGTGCACCAACAGAGGCGTGTGGTGGTGGTGGTGACGGTGGTGACGGTGATGGCGGTGGTGGTGACGGTGGTGATGGTGGTGATGGTGGTGGTGGTGGTGGTGATGGTGGTGACGGTGATGGTGGTGGTGGTGACGGTGGTGATGGTGGTGATGGTGGTGGTGGTGGTGGTGATGGTGGTGACAGTGATGGCGGTGGTGGTGACGGTGATGGCGGTGGTGACGGTGGCGGTGGTGACCGAGTGGGCACAGAGAATGCCGCTGGTTGGTGGTAGCAGCGATAGCAATGACAGGGTTGATAGCTTCAGTACTTGGTGTTTTTCAGAGTTTGGTAAGTCACCCTTGTGCTTTTTGAATTAAGTTTCCATCAGTACTCAAATGTACTTAATTGTTGTATTTCCACACGTCATTATACTGCATTCTTGTTGATGCTTCCTGAGCTCCTGCTCTTCTCTTGCTATATCTGCCTACACAGACTCATAATTCAATCAGCCTCTATGCAGATCTCTATCTACCTATCTATCTATGTATCTATCTATCTATCCATCTATGTAAATATTTCTGTGGTATGTTTATACCTACCTACACACATACCTATATAAATATATATATAATTCAATCTATCTCTACAAAGATGTCTCTATATACATATATATATTTATACACACATATGTAAATATATCTGTGGTGTATTTGTACCTACACACACACACACACACACACAGGTTCTCAGAGGATCAGTGGGAAGCACCAATCCTGGCCAGTAGTTAAGGGTATGATGGAAGGAAGGATTGTGGAGGTTTCTCTCCAAGAGCCTCTAAGGACCTTGGCACTAAATGAATACCTACAGAGCCAGGAGCCAGAGCAGATCGCATGTATAAGCAACCACCCTCTCTCGGTTTTGTGTAGTTCAGAGCACATGGTTGCCCCTGACAGCCAGACTCCCAGCCTGGCAGGGGCAACACCAGCATGGAACACACAGAGACTCTTGTACAGGATATGACCCTGACAGGAAAGCATGAATGAGATGTCTAGTAACAAATCACAACAGAATTGAGGAAACTGATTGAGGCACCATAGGACAGGTCAGAGAAAGACACACACACGTCATGCAGCATCCACATTCACACTGTAAGTAGACCCTCCTGAAAATCCAACACAGCGAGAGCAGTCAGCAACGGTCGTTTGTGGAGCCTGCCATTCCTCGTGCACACAAAGTCTGGAGCTCTTAGGAGAATATTAGCACTGTCACTGTCCTTTGTCAGAAGGGTGCTGTCCGAGTCACAGTGGCAGCCCTCCTGGCTTGGAAAAGGCCATCGTCACCTTCCACACAAGTGGCCATCACTCTGTTCAGGCGTGGACCAGTCTTCTCAGTACACAGGCAGCAGGGAGCCAGCCTCCTCCTCTCCAGGCCAAACTTAGACACACACTCCACACGGAGCACCCTGAAAAGCTTAATCGGCAGAGACACAAAAAGCAGAGGCCCACGCTCTGCCTTACACTAAGGCCAGACAAGATTTCTGTCAGGGGTGAAGTTGATCTGTCCCCGGAGGGGCAGGGCAAAGGCTGGCCCCTCTCAGAACATGAGTCCCCACGGGGTCCAAGAAAGAACTCCAAGGTTTACAAGCACTGGGAGGACACCGGCCATCTTGCTTAGTCCTGCACAGCTGTGACAGAAACACCTGGAAGGAGTAACTCCGGGGAGAAAAGATTAACTTGAGATCCAGTTGCAGAGGGTTTGGCCAGCCAGAGCTGCTTGCTTCTAAGCGCTTGGACAGAATGCTGTGGTGGCTGGAGCCTGTGATGCCCACCCCCACCCGCCCCACTGCTGGAGTCTGTGAGGAGGGCTCATCTTAGCATCATGACAGTAGGATGCAGAGAGAGAGAGAGAGAGAGAGAGAGAGAGAGAGAGAGAGAGAGAGAGAGAGAGAGAGAGAGAGAGAAGGGGTAGAACCTTCAGAGGCTCATCTCCTGGAACCTACTTCCTCCAACCATGCTCAACTCCCATTTTTACACTATGTCCAAAAATGTGCCATCATCTAGGGACAACATTTACAAACTGTGAGTCTGTGGAGGGAACACTTTACACACAAACCACAACACAGACACCTTGGACCCCACAGTGGGCCACGATGGAGTATGTTGTTGGTCTAAGCCTAGGGTTGGCAGGGATGCTTCTAACACGAGGGCTATTAAGTCTGTGTTGGCAACCATTAGACCTTTAAGAAAGGGATGTGGCTTGAAGGCCCTTACACAGTGCTGGTGCATTTACACACACCAGCCTTGACCACCCTCCCGCAGACCCCACAAAGGAGGTTCCAGGAAGCTGAGGCCAGAGAAGCTAAGAGCCTTGTCTACTGTCACACAGCCAACAGAAGTCTCGGGGCTACGTCTGTCAGATTTTGACGCCTCGTGATGTTTCTGTTACGTCTGCCCTAGTTTTGCTTTGTTAGAGTGATGAACACCATGACCAACGCAACTGGGAGAGGAAAGGTCTCTTTGAGCTCACACTTCCAGGCCACAGTCTGTCACTGAGGGAAGCCAGGGTGGGAACTCAAGAGGGGACGAAGCAGAGACCACGGACGGACGAACGGAAGGACGGACAGACAGACAGACAGACACTGCTTGCAGGCCCGCTCCCTGGTTCACACTCCTCTAGCTTTCTCACACAGCCAAGGCCCCGCCTTTCTGGCAGGTGCGGCCCACAGTGGGCTGGACCCTTCCATGTCAACTGTCAATCAAGATGACCCCTCACAGCCCTGGACACTCCCTCAGAGGACTCTAGGCCTGTGCTTGAAAGCAAAAGCTAATTAGGATGCACTTTCATCTCCCAAACTGCTCCCCTTACAGGTAGGGAGTAGGGCGAGACTGGCGGGTAGTCCAGAGCTCAGGGCAGGGGTTGGGTTAGAAGAGCTATGTCTGTCCCATTCTGTCCCTTCTGGTCTGAGCTCTCACCGGGAAGGCCAAGGAATGACTGCGGCATTTTTTTACGTTTGCTGGTCAGTAATTGTGTGGCCAAGAAAAGCCAACTCTGCCTGTAGAGATGGCTGCACACAGCTCAGGTTACTTCTTTGTGATGCCATGGGAACACAGCAGGGGGCACCCAGGGCGCTGGGACCAGAGCTTGGGCGTGCTGGAGCGGGTGAAACACCAACCCCCCTCCCGCACCTCACCCTACACTTGGGAAGCCCAGAGACCCAAACAAGTAACAGATCTGGTAGCTACCACAAGCTTCAATCAGACTAGAGTTTCTCAAAGCACATTCCATGGAGGTTCCTTGGGGCAACTGTGAGCACTGGGGGAAACTAAGTCACATTCTTTATCTTTTTATTTATAAGAAACCAGGCCACCTCTGTATTTGAATGTCTACATATCCATTTGAATGAGGAAAAACCTTGTTTCTTTCTAAACTAACCTGAGTGCCAGGAACTGTAGCCGTCCGCTCCCAAGAGTCCCTGTCGATCCCTGAGAAGACCTTCTTCTAAGATGGTGGGGCTTCTAGTCTTAAGGTCACTTGGAGGACGGTGTGATCTCAGGCTAGGGACAGAGTGTGCCCAGAATGTCTAGTCCCAGGAGTCTGGCTGGGGATGCAGCTCCTGGCAGAGCCTGGGGGAACTCTCTGTTCCTCGGTATGCACCAACAGGTTAAGGCACTCATAGTCACACATGTGCCTACACGCATGCTCATAGGCACACACATGCACACATTTATGTGTGCTCATAGGCACATACATGCACACATTTATGTGTGCGTGCATGTGTATAATTGCCTCCACACGCATAGCCATGTACTCACATATGTAAATACATCCTTGCAAACATGCATTCACACACATATCTACATCCATTTATCATTTACATCACACACATCCTTACACACACGAACGCTCCCATGTCCTTATTGGCTCATAAGAGAGAGAGAGATCGAATCTTGGGTGGATGAGTCTGAGCTGCCGCTAGGTCCAGGTCTCCCGCTCTCTGTGTAACATCAGGGAGTGGTCCTGAAGATACAAAGAGGCTCCTGGTCCTGGTCAGTGATCCTCAGTCTGGAAAGCACGCTTTTTACACAGCTTTAGGGATTTCTTTCTAAAATGTCCTCTGAAGAAAAGGAAATGATGGCGGAGTCCTCTCTCGGTCGAGGAAGGAAGGGAATGTGCTTGGCCTCTCCCTGTTTGCTTTGTAAGCGGGGTGATGGTGTTTATTTCCACAACATGGGCCACAGGAACTGATTGATAGGTAGTAGGTAAAGGGGAGGAGCCACTCCCAGTGCTAATGTGCTCAGAAACTGTCTCCAGTCACTAACAGCGGGGCCTGCATGGTGACCTCACATGGCACAGCCGATTCTCACTGGAACTATCACCCCAAGAGCATATTTGGGGAGACTGGAGACTGGAAGTGTCCAGAAGTCAGACAGACAGACAGATAGACAGACAGACAGGCAGGCAGGACTCTGGTGTACTGAGGTTTAATTTGGTTTGTTCTCAGGACCTCTTCCTCCTTGTCAAGAGCCAGACATGCAAGGGATAGGATAATGCCACCGAGGGAGCCGGCGAGGGCAGATGTCCTCTGGTCTGCCATCGGAAGAGGCTCTTGGTTAGGAAGCCTGCAAGGTGCTTGGGTCAACTGTCCCCGAAAGGTGCCTTGTAGGGGCTGTGGCTATGGGCCTGGATGAGCTTTAGCTCATTTTAAAATGTGTGTACTTGCACACACAGAAAACACATCCTGTATTGTCTTCCTCACTTCTAACAAGTTCGCACATCCATAACTTCTAATAAGAGAAACAAGAGAGTGTGTCAAAACGGATACCACCGTTGCACTCAACAGATACTGCCCTGTTGGGTCCCTTCAGGCAGGAGAGGGAACAGGGGGACTATGGGGCCACCTCAGCAGGCTCTGCTCACATGGTTGGAATCTGATTCAACTCTGATTGAAAAGGAATGTCTCCAGAGAAAATGGCCACAAGACAGCTACAAACCGAAAGCTGCTGCCTGTGGCCTCTGGGTGTGTGTGGGTGGTGTGTGTGTGTGGGTGGTGTGTGTGTGTGTGTGTGTGAGGTGGGGTGTGTGTGTGTGAGTGTGTGTGTGTGTGAGGTGGGGTGTGTGTGTGGGTGGTGTGTGTGTGTGTGAGGTGGGGTGTGTGTGTGTGGGTGGTGTGTGTGGGTGGGTGGTGTGTGTGTGTGTGTGTGAGGTGGGGTGTGGGTGTGTGAGTGTGTGTGTGTGTGTGTGAGGTGGGGTGTGTGTGTATGTGAGGTGGGGTGTGTGTGTGTGAGTGTGTGTGTGTGTGAGGTGGGGTGTGTGTGTGTGGGTGGGTGTGTGTGAGGTGGGGTGTGTGTGTGTGTGTGGGTGTGTGTGTGTGTGTGAGGTGGGGTGTGTGGGTGTGTGTGTGTGTGAGGTGGGGTGTGTGTGTGTGTGGGGGTGGGTGTGTGTGTGAGGTGGGGTGTGTGTGTGTGTGTGGTGTGTGTGTGTGTGAGGTGGGGTGTGTGTGTGTGTGTGTGAGGTGGGGTGTGTGTGTGAGTGTGTGTGTATATGTGTGTGTGAGGTGGGGTGTGTGTGTGTATGTGTGTGTGTGAGTGTGTGTGTGAGGTGGGGTGTGTGTGTGAGGTGGGGTGTGTGTGTATGTGTGTGTGTGTGTGTGTGTGGTGGGTGGGTGTGTGGGTGTGAGGTGGTGTGTGTGTGTGTGTGTGAGGTGGGGTGTGTGTCTGTGTGTGTGTGTGTGTGTGAGGTGGGGTGTGTGTGTGTGTGGGGGGGTGTGTGTGTGAGGTGGGGTGTGTGTGTGTATGTGAGGTGGGGTGTGTGTGTGTGTATGTGAGGTGGGGTGTGTGTGTGTGTGTGAGGTGGGTGTGTGTGTGTGTGAGGTGGGGTGTGTGTCTGTGTGTGTGTGTGTGTGTGAGGTGGGGTGGGTGTGTGTGTGGGTGTGTGTGTGTGTGTGAGGTGGGGTGTGTGTGTGTATGTGAGGTGGGGTGTGTGTGTGTGTATGTGAGGTGGGGTGTGTGTGTGTGTGAGGTGGGGTGTGTGTGTGGGTGTGTGAGGTGGGGTGGGTGTGTGTGTGTGTGTGTGAGGTGGGGTGTGTGTGTGTGAGTGTGTGTGTGTGAGGTGGTGTGTGTGTGGGGTGTGTGTGTGTGTGTGTGTGTGAGGTGGTGTGTGTGTGTGTGTGTGTATGTGAGGTGGGGTGTGTGTGTGTATGTGAGGTGGGGTGTGTGTGTGTGTGTGAGGTGGGGTGTGTGTGTGTGTGGTGTGTGTGTGTGTGGGTGTGTGTGAGGTGGTGTGTGGTGTGTGTGTGTCTGTGTGTGTGTGTGTGTCTGTGTGTGTGTGTGTGTGTGTGTGAGGTGGGGTGTGTGTGTGTGTGTGTGAGGTGGGGGTGTCTGGCAACCACACTTCATGTGAGCTTGGCTATGGTGACAGCCTGGGTTTGCCTGAGCCCCAAAACCACCCTGGTGGACCCGGGTCAGGGAGGAGGAGATTACCGTTCAGTCGACAGAGAAGCGAATGACCAGACAAGTCATGCTGCCCACACTGTCGTCTGGAGGGCCACTTAGCTCGTTTATCAGCCACCGCTGGCTTTGACTGAAGGACAAGAAAATACAAAGGAAATTCAAAAGGCAGAGGGAAAGTGAGGCAAGCTGTCATTTCCCCCGAGTATAAAACTAAAGAGCTGCCGAGTGTGTGCGCGCAACTGTGATCCCAGAATTGAAACGGCTGATGCAGGAGGATTGCTAAAAGTAAAAGGCCAGCCTGGGCCAAATATGGGGCCACTCAGGGGTTACACAGCAAGACCTTGTCTCAAAAAGTTGTAACACATCAAAGGCTTTTCAGATAACACACTGAATCAGCACAAGTTTTGGCGGCCCCTGGGAGGAACCCACAGGCAGCTTGATTGCCATCCGGGAAAACAACCATAGACAGGCAGTTGGCACGATCCCCGCGTGCCCACGGGCACACGACACTCACCTCCCTGGACTCGTCATGGCTATCCCCAGGCACACGGTGCAACCAGCAAGTACCTTTGGATTGGATGGAGGCACACGATAATCCAAATGGAGAGGAGCCAGAAACTCGACCACCGTAAAAAGCCTACGCCAGAGTGATGCCCTTGTCCATGGTTAGTGTTCTGAGCGCGCGGTCAAGTGTGGGAAAGCCCTTTATGAGGTCATCATCCGTGATGCTTTGCGCTTGAGGCGTAGCTGCGGGCACCGCGGTGGGGAAACCCCTTTATGAGGTCATCATCCGTGATGCTTTGCGCTTGAGGCGTAGCTGCGGGCACCGAGGTGGGGAAACCCCTTTATGAGGTCATCCCTTCTCCTTCCAGAACTCCCCAGATGGGGAGGTGTAAGCCACTTGGGGAGCCCCATGGCTCGCTTAACAAACGCTCTCCTGAAGAGCATCGTTGTCCGAACTCAGTTTGACAGCGTCAGGAAGAAACAGTGCCTGCAGTATCTGAACACTCTGAGGACGCTGCAGTATGATGGGTATAAGACTGTGTATTTTGGGGAAACCGAGATCCCAGAAACGCTCATCACCGGGGAAGATTTCAGCGACAGCTATTACATGCGCACCCCCACCTGGTGTCTTCTGCACGCCGGCGGCAGCCAGGGCTGGGTGCCTTGGAAATACCGGATGTTCTTGAGGGACGACCTGTGTATCAAACAGGAGGACAGCCCCTTCTTTGAGTTCTGTGACGTCGTGAAGAAGGCCTACGGGAAGTGCGCCATCGTGGTCAAAGGGCCAAGGCAGCAAGGCGAGACCAAGCCAAAGGCGGACAGGGAAGGGGAGGCCCAGGCCCATGTCCCGACAAGCATTAATTTAACAAGCATCGTGTGTTGCCCGGGAGTGGCCAAGTCCTACGGCCATGAACTAATCTCTCTGCCCTCCCCGTATACCTACCTGAACCCCTTAGACTCGGCCTGGTCGTCTATGAAATGGTTTATCATCAACAACAGGAAAGAGTTCTGTCTGCAGTCTGTGGACAACGTCTACACTTACCAGTACATACTGTTCAGCGACTTAGTTGGCAAAGGGATTGAGAAGGTCAGCCCGAGCAAGTGGAAGGCCCTAACCAACAAAGTTCGGAGGTGGGAGAACTACTATCTGGGGAAGCTTTCTTAGGGGCGTCTTCTCCACGGAGCCACTGCGGGCTGCGCGGCTAACTGTGGGGTGGGATTCTGGCCCCCATGCCACCACACACACCCTTCAGGAGTGACTCACAGGAATGCTGCCTGGACTGAGAGGTGCCTGGGGGGTGCTGCCAAAGTCCTGTGGCTGCCGGGCAGGGGTTCCATTAAAGCTTGATGACCACGGGGGTCTCGGCTCTCATCTTGTGTTCACGGGAGGAGGGGGAGACTCTAGCCCAGAGGACCGTAGAGGTTAAAGAGCAGGGTTAGAGGATGTGTGGTCAAAATTTAGGTCTAAGAAAAAAGAGAACCAAGTGTAGAGTTATTTAAAGAATTAAAACACCAAAAATAAGTACTAAGCCAGGAATCTTCAGCCAAAATAACCCGGGAGGATCCAGCTTGCCACGAGCAAGAGATGTGATCAGACGGTCTAGTAGATGCTGTTCCTCTGTGAGGGATGGTGGCTGAGCAGGTCACAGGTCAAACCCCACCATACATCCAAGGCAAGGGGGTGGTCCACAGAGGGGAGGCAGGGAGCCGCCACACATCCAATGGCATGAGTGGGGGGTGCTAATGGACCCACATATCCAGCCTGAAAGAACCCCCACATCCTATTCAGACTCAGTGCCTGCTGGGGGCCGGAATGATGGGTGGTTGGGTGTTTGCTACAGACAAAGCCTGGCCCCTGTGACACCCCCCACAAAGTCCATCCTTCCTTGTATGTGCTCAAGTGACAACTACAGCAGAAGTAATCACGCTGAGGCCAGCGTGGGAGAGTACGGAAGGGCACGAGGCAGGAGCAAAGGGGGCTGAGGACTCTGCTCTTTGTGTTCAGGGTTGCCATCCCTAAAACACAAAAAGGAGCTCTAGAGACAGTCTGTTAAAAAAGAAAATGGCGTATGAGAACTCCCACCGGCTCCCAGCAGACTTAACGGCAGACGAAGCCGTGAAGCCAGGCTCTTGTCCGATGGAGGATGCTTCGTAGTCTTGGCCTGGCTTTATTCTTCCTAAACCTTCCTGTGCTATTCAGAGAGAGAGGCTGTGGGATGGAAAGAGGCGCCCCGTGCTCTCCGGTCATAAGTGATGGGTTCAGCAGTCTTTTCAAGTTGGGGGGGGGATCTTAACGTAAATCTTATCTAAGGGGTGTCACACCCCAAACCGCCAACCACTTGGGCCTGCAAAGTGCCACCTGTTGCAGATCCAGCTTTTACACCGTGATTCCGCTGACTGCTGCAACAAATGGCCGGGAATTTGGTGGCTGGAAGCAGAAACTTATTCTTTCCTGTCCTGGGTGTCGGGAGCCAGACATCAGGTCCTCCGATCTGAATCGAGCTATAAATAGCATGACCACACTGCCCGGGGCTCCGGGAAATCTGTCACATGCTCTCACGGTTCCTGATGGCTCGCCTGCCCTTGGCTAGTTGCCTTCTCTTCTGGGTCAAATCTCCCATCTCTGTACTTTGAGCCCATTTGACACTCTTTTCACAGCCTGATGTCCTTACCTGGACCACACACACACACACACACACACACACACACACACACGCACGCACGCACGCACGCACGCACGCACACGCACGCAAGGAGTCTTTTCCATATAAGGCACAGGCTTTAGGAAGCAGGACCTGAACGCCTCTCTGGGCACCCACTGCTGTGAAGCCATCAGTGGTGCCTTACTCTGCTCCCTAAAACCCACGCTTCCCTGTGACAGTTGGGCTGCCCAGCCAACTCTGTGTGGCACATTTGCGTGGCCCTTTCCCTTCTCCACATGCGCTCTGAGGCCTAACGTCCTTGAGAGCAGCCGGCATGACGAGCGTTTAGGCCTCCCTGGTCTCTTCCGCTGTCACTGTGCAGACACAAGTGTAGCACACCTGATTTGGGGGCTGTCAGTGGGGCTGCCCTTTATTGATTACATTGATCTCACGCTACCCGGAGTTCCAGGGTGAGAAAGTGCTGGAAAGAGCAGGAGATGGGTGACAGCTCCAGGAGAAGAACCTTGGACTCTGTTGTGTTTATGTCTAATATACACACCAATCCGCTTCAACATCACAGCGGCTGCAATGTGGGGACAGCTGTCTACACTTTACAGATGTGGAAATCTGGGGCACAGAGCAGATGTGTGAGCCGCTGTGTGCACAGAGCTAAGATTAAAATACAGCTCACAGTTAAGGCTCTATTACTCTGCCACGTTTACCACGTCACTGCCCACAATGCCTCATTTAGCACGCCACTACCCACAATGCCTCTTTTACCACGTCACACTTAATGTCTGAGGCGACCCGCGGGGCAGCTGCGGTTACTCTTCCCTTTGACAGACAAGGAAGCTGAGAGGTGAACAAAGTCCCTAACGCAGTCAGTTCACAAGGACAGCTACCAGGCCTCACTTGGTTCCTCCCTCATCTACACCCTGCAAGAAAATCCACAGGGGCCACCCAGGGCCAGCTACACACCACACCAAAAACGGATTCCAACACAAAATCGAGGGGGAGGCACAGGACACCTTAGGAAGTCACATGTTTGCAGTACAAAATAACAAACAGACAAGAAATCAACAGTTGCATATCCTTTGGGTATTAGATGACCCAGCTTAGAGAGGGGGAGTGTTTCTCATCTAGAAGTGAAATGATTCGGTATGGCGGGTTGGCCCTCGCTTTGAGCTCTGTTTGATGATTAGAAGAGCAAGCAGAAGAAAGTCCAACATAACCAGGGCCCTCAACGGGCCGCCTTGATGTGCAGTTTGGTATACGACACCAGATTCACAACCGTGAAATGTGTTTTTATGATACACTCAGGAACTAAAGCAGGGAACCAGAGCATACACCGACCTTGGGAACCAGGGCCCCTGTGGGAATCTTGAGACCTTTCACAAGCTGCTTTGCTTCCCTGAGGCCCAATCAGCTCATCAGGAAAATGGGCTGAGGGCCTTAAAATGGAATCACACATGCGAAAACTGCCACATACACCTAGCCTTTACTCAGAGCTCAAAACGAAGCTGGTGTCATGGCTGAGGCCAAGTGATCATAGGTAAACTAATGTCTCCACCTTCATTTCCTTTCTGTTATTTGAAGAGCAAACTTTGTTCCCTGGCATTTGTGACCATCTGCGGTCGGCTATGGGAGTCACAGTTTGTCCTTGTGGAGACGGGACAGTGAGGCTGGAGGAGAACACAGCCCAGGGTGTCTCTGGGAAGAGCCCAGTGAGGGTAACAGAGGACAGCGCCACACTCCAGCACACACCGGAGCACACACACTAACACACTCCAGAGCACACACACACTAACACACACTCCAGCACACACCGGAGCACACACACTAACACTCCAGAGCACACACACACTAACACACACTCCAGCACACACCGGAGCACACACACTAACACACTCCAGAGCACACACACACTAACACACACTCCAGCACACACCGGAGCACACACACTAACACACTCCAGAGCACACACACACTAACACACACTCCAGCACACACCGGAGCACACACACTAACACTCCAGAGCACACACACACTAACACACACTCCAGCACACACCGGAGCACACACACTAACACACACACCAGAGCACACACTAACACACACTCCAGCACACACTAACACACACTCCAGAGCACACACCAGAGTGCACACACTAACACACACACCAGAGCACACACACACTAACACACACTCCAGCACACACACCAGAGCACGCACACTAACACACTCCAGAGCACACACACACTAACACACACTCCAGCACACACCGGAGCACACACACTAACACACTCCAGAGCACACACACACTAACACACACTCCAGCACACACCGGAGCACACACACTAACACACTCCAGAGCACACACACACTAACACACACTCCAGCACACACCGGAGCACACACTAACACACTCCAGAGCACACACACACTAACACACACTCCAGCACACACCGGAGCACACACACTAACACACTCCAGAGCACACACACACTAACACACACTCCAGCACACACCGGAGCACACACTAACACACTCCAGAGCACACACACACTAACACACACTCCAGCACACACCGGAGCACACACACTAACACACTCCAGAGCACACACACACTAACACACACTCCAGCACACACCGGAGCACACACTAACACACTCCAGAGCACACACACACTAACACACACTCCAGCACACACCGGAGCACACACACTAACACACTTCAGAGCACACACCAGAGCACACACACTAACACACACTCCAGCACACACACCAGAGCACGCACACACTAACACACACTCCAGCACACACACCAGAGCACACACACACTAACACACACTCCAGCACACACACCAGAGCACGCACACTAACACACTTCAGAGCACACACCAGAGCACACACACTAACACACACTCCAGCACACACGCCAGCACAGGGCTGAGCCACATCTCTGCAGACACGTGCCCTGGAGTGGCGTTTGTGGTGTTGGTAGTGCCAGTCTCTTCTGAGGGGTGGCTTGATGGACAAACCCACTCTCTCTGTCCTTTCTGCTTCCAACAGCTATTGCCCCACTGTCTCCCCACGGAGCAGAAGAGATGTCCAGAAGGATGGTGGACTAGATCATGGTGCTTTCTTAGAACCAGTGTGGATAAATGTGATAGTTTAGATATGAACCACCCCACCTGGTGTATCCTATGTATGTTAATACCTGTGTCCCCTCTGGGAAGCTGTGGGTCTGTCAGGGCCCATAAAAGTGGTTCCGTTTCATTTATGACCTAAGATCAGAGAGTTGGAGCCCAGTATTGCTCCTCCAAGGTTAAACCCACAGAATGTTTGGCCTAAAGTGTGGCTATTGCATGTCTTGCCTTGACAACAGGATATCTGCCCTAAAGCGTAGCAATGGATGTTATCACCTTGACAACAGGATATTTGGCTTAGGGTGTGGTTATTCCATGTTTTGGGTACTGAGCAGGTAATTACTCTTGCCTGTTCTTTGTATCTTGGTAAGGGAGTCTTCTGCCTTCCCCTCTTATGATTTGGGTATATAAGAACTTTGAATAATCAACTTGGGGCTGATCCTAGTCTCACTAGGTGCCCTCCCCACTTGCCCATTTCTTTCCTCAATCCACACTCGCCCCTCAGGAATGGACTGGACAGGCAGCTGGACCCAACCAGTGATGCCCACAACATCACTACATGGG